GCACAGCTGGTGAGCCCCGGTCGTCACAGCTTAAATGTGAGAGAGCGTCCATTCAGCGTGGACACTATCTTAAAAACCAGATTGCTTTTTCGATGCGCTTTGACAGTGTGGATGCTCTTTTGGAATAAGTTTTTTTTTTCCAGAAGATCTCTTCCAGAAAAGCTTCTTTCTAAAGAAACCTGCAGTCTAGACATAGCCAGAATCTGCATTCCTGATTATGCGAAATGAATTCCCACTAGGAGCTGCAAGGAATGTTCCATCTTAGCATATGTACTTTTGTAAAGGGGTATTTCTCAGTGTGGGCTAGTGTTCAATAATCCTTCAAACTGAATGTGTCCTGACCTAAACCTCATTTAAAAGAACGCCAGTATTTAAAAAGGGCTGTAGAGGTGATCCTGGCAATTACAGACCGGTAAGTCTAACTTCAGTACCGGGCAAAATAGTTGAAACAATAGTAAAGAATAAAATTGTGAAGCATGTAGAAGAACATAATTTGTTGGACAAAAGTCAACACGGTTTCTGTAAAGGGAAATCCTGTTTTACTAATCTATTAGAGTTCTTTGAAGGGGTTAACAAACATGCGGACAAGGGGGATCCAGTAGATACAGTATACTTGGATTTTCAGAAAGCCTTTGACAAGGTCCCTCACCAAAGGCTCTTGTGTAAATTACATGGCCATGGGATAAGAGGGAAGGTCCTTTCTTGGATTGAGAACTGGTTAAAAGACAGGAAACAACACACACTCACACCACAGCTTGTACTCTCACCGGGTAGCCTCTTCGGCGGTGGGGTCGCTTTGCTCTCCCTCTTCAACTCCCCTGTCTGCAGTCCCCTGTCCGCTTCGCTCCCCTGGTCGCACTTTAAAGTGGTTGAGCCTCATGATGCCATTGTAGTCAGATGTAGATGGTAGTCTCCACATTGGTAAATTGTCACCAAACTGAGTGATTGGGCAACCATTTTGCAAATGAAATTTAATGTGGATAAGTGTAAAGTAATGCACATCGGGAAAAATAACCCCAACTATACGTACAGTATGATGGGGGCTAATTTGGCTACAACAAATCAGGAAAGAGATCTTGGAGTTATCGTGGACAGGTCTCTGAAAACTTCCACACAGTGTGCAGCAGCGGTCAAAAAGGCAAATAGGATGCTAGGAATTATTAGGAAAGGGATAGAACCGTTGGGCCTGATGGTCTAGCCAGATTTCTATCCATCTTACTTGCAGCCCACTCTATTAGCATAATTTAATATGGACAGTTAAATTGACAGTTTTTTTCTCCTTCCCCTTTTCATACTTTTTTCTCCTTTTATTTGACCCTGTGTGCCTCCTGCTCCATATTTCTCATCTGAAAAAGTGTGCCCATGAAAGCTCATGGTATCATCTGTGGTTTTTTTTAGTCTCTAATATTCTGCAGAACCATTCATTGTTTTTTTAATTTGTTTACCAGTCAGTAGGTTTATGGCATAGGGTGGTGTTTGTGCAACCATCATTTATATGTATAGGAAACTCCCAAGATGCAACCACCCAAGTTGTGACACCTCCCTCTGCTCCCCACACTTACAACCATTTTTGTAAGTGCGGAAGTGGTCAAACTTCCCCCCTCTCCCAATTTACATTGTAGGCCCACATTTATGACAGCGCATGATGCCTACCGTAAATGAGGCCTTGAGTTACGATGTCCCTGCCTTGCAATGCTTCTCCAGCAACCAATCATTTCTCAAATCGGGGGCCACCTGTGTGGTAGAGTGGATCTCTTGCATGGATTATTTCAGGCTGAAGATAATAGTGGGGCCACCGGGTGCTGGCCACTGTCGGCAGACAGGCTACTGGGCTAGATGGACCTTTGGTCTAACCCAGTACGGCCATTCTTATGTAATCAGGCCCCATATCTTGCAGCCAACATATATTTACATTGAAGGAGGGTGTCTGATTCAGTTCAGCTTCCTAGCAGGCTGTAATTTACAGATGAGATCTTAGACTTGTACTTAGTTTTGATTCTAGTAAAGGTGCCATTCCTTTGTGCTCTTGCACGTACACATTCTGTCCATTAAGTTACTAGGTTAAGAATAATAATGTGGGTTCTCCCTACAGCTGGAAGGTATGCCCAAAGCATAGAGGATACAAGGAAAACAGCTAAGGGAGAGACTATCCAGGGGATTCTTAACTATGATCTGAGAGAATAGCATTAAGAAGACTGAAGTTATCTGATGATTGAACAAGCTTAGGTACAATATAGCCAAATGAGGGTCCAGCAAGGAGTTCTAAGTGGAATCAATGACCAGAAAGATGACTACAGTTCAGAAAATGGACGTTAATGCTCCTCTGTTAAGCTATGTGTATGGCAAGCTTGTAACATATGCTATCATGCAACCAACATAAATGTTAATGCTCACTTTTGAGGTTTCCTGTGTTTAATACAAGTCCTGATCCTGTCACAGTATATACAGTTTATCTGGTCGCATTAGATCTCCTCAAAAGGCTATTGGTTAAAATCAGATACCAGTTTGGTTTGAAATGCTTCCCCTTGGATTTCAACTTTCTTGTTATCTCTAGAGCTTTTTCCGGTGGCAGGTATCCATCTAGGTAGAATTGAACAGGACATTTCCTCTCTGATGGTAGCTGCTTCAATAAAATGTAAATGTGTGTAGTGGAACATAGGAACACTCACTATGCATGACCAAAGGACCCAAAACACTTAATACTAGTCATCCTACAGGTTGAACCTCTTTATTCCAGCACTCTCTGGTCCAGCAATGTCTGTGGTCAGCATTATCTTAGTTAGCTGGGTGTGACCAAGTTTCTGCAGTCCCATAAAGTTTGTTTATAGCCACCTATCTGGCTCATTGTTTTGATATTTACTTCTCATTTACCCCTAAATGCCATCTTAGAGCCAAATAAGCAGTGGCAATGCTGCTAGACAATGTTGACTTCCTGTGGTTCAGCTAATTCTCTAGCTTGGCACTGTTCAGGTCCCAAGAGGAATGGACTAAAGAGGTTCAACCTGTACTAATTGGGGTTTTTAAAGTTGGAACTGTCCATTTTTTGTTAAATTACTTGATACTTTACAGAGTTAATGTCTCTTCAGTCTGAATGTTACTGGTACTGCTTGGAGTATGTGAATCTATTTATACTTGTATATTATCTTTGAAAAGGCAGATTATGTAAGCCTTCATACTGTCAATGAACACTTACTATTCACAATGGCTACAAAACAAAGCAGAATTGTACTACAGTAAAACTCCATTAGTCCAGCATCCAATGCTCCGGGGCTCCTGATGGTCCGGCACCATCAGGAACCCGGAAGTGCTGGGGCAGCTGGACAGGCTTTCCCGATTCAGCTGCTGCTGAAACTGACCAGCAGCGGCTGAATCAGGGACGCCTGGGGCAGAGTCGGACTATCGTAAGGGGGGGCTATGAGGGGCCTGGGGTGACATCCTCTCCCACCCCACTCCAGACCCCTCATAGTCCCCCCCTTCTGATAGTCTAGCATATCTGATAATCCGGCACCCCCTGGGTGCTAAAGGTGCCGGATTATCGGAAGTTTACTGTAATTAGTTTGCTTTTGATACTTCAGTTAAAACTTGTTCTCTGAAGAATATTTTTTTTTTTAAATGCTGCATTCCCTATGTAATCATTTATATTGGGCGGGTTATGCCATTTTCCAAAAAATGGTTTGTGGTAAATATTTTAATTCACCTACATTTCCTATTTAAACAAATGCAGCACAATTCTGGTGAGGCTTTAGTTGACATTGTCAGCATGCAGTTTATTCAAGGAGCCAAAAACTATGTGCAGTTGTTTTCTATTATTATTTATTTATGTATTTATTAAAATAGTAATCTCTCTCTCTTGTAGACTGCTGTTGACGTTTTTAGGAGGATAATTTTGGAGGCAGAAAAGATTGATGGGGCATCTTCACAAGGGAAGTCTTCATGCTCACTAATGTAATTCCACTGCAAAACCTGGGAATACATTCTACCTGAAGAAGCAAACTGCCTGTTATCTTTAAGGATAAACTATATGCTTCTTTTTTCTTCTGTTAACCTGAAAGATTCACAGTTGGAGCCTTTCCCTTCAGATTATGTTAAACTCTGACGCTTGTGTAAATGGCTTCACTTCCATTTTCAAATTTTAAGCAATCATATTTTCAGTTTATATTGTATTTCTTAATATTATGACCAAGAATTTTACTGGCATTAATTTTTCAGTGTAGTTTGTTGGTTAGAATAATCATCAAATGATGCATATTGTTACACTACTCTTAACTAGGCTTGGATATCAGTGTTTCTTTGTGTTAAATGTATACTTGTAAATAAAATAGCTGCAAACCGTATTGTGTTGCTGTTTTTATCTTATTTTAAAACCTCAGTTAATGTAACTTGAAATCAGTTTTCCTACAAACTGACCAGCCTCCAGCCCCCCAGGACTAGTAAAGATGAATGTTGAAGCCAATGTCTAGTTCAGCTTTTTCAGAAACTGCTACAGTGAGCTGAAGCATCCCCTTTAGCAGAAATCCTATGTGCCTGACTACAACCTCAGATGAACCTGTGCATGCCAGCTGATAAGGATGAAGCACTTTGTCATGTGTTAACTTGATGGAGAAAGTGCTAAGGATGCAAATGCAATAATAGATTTTCCAGCACCACTCTTCTTTCCTTAACATGACTCATCTGATAGAGGTCATTCAAATGTATAGCCATAATGAAGGGTTTTTTGACACTTCTATTATAAACTGTTTATGCATGCTTGTGACTAGCGACATCATTTTGAAAATAGAATAAAATAACAAAGCAATTCTGGTTTATAAATTCAAACTGTTTCTTTTGCAAGCAATTACATGTGCATTTCCAAATGCATTTTTCATTCTGAGACCACGGTTGACATGGATGAAGAATGGTTTCATGTCTGTCCTGGTTTTCAGAGAGTAAAATTGCAGAGCAGCTGGAAGCAATTAAGTTAAATGTTTCCATTCTTGTAAAGGTTCAGAATCACTGACCTGAACTGTGGAAAGTTAAACTTTTAACTATAGTCATATCAGAAATCATAACCAGAACTTTCAAATCTGTAAAGAAGATACAAAGTTTTAAATACGTTTGGGCTAGACATGCTGGATAAGCCTGCCTAGCTGAGGAGACGTCTCATGGGCTTGTTTCTCTAATTCAGCCTATCTTTAGAATAATGGACAACTGTAATGCACTTCCTTCACTGTCAGACCTGTTTCAAGGTGAGGCTAAAAATAGGATGGAAACTTCTAAGGCTTTAACAATCTTCAATTGTTAATGAGACTGGGCTTATACCTGTGATTGCATGCAGGGCAGTGTTCCAGGACAGTCCTTCCTGGCACCATATTCTAACAACCCAACCCCTCTTGGCTGGAGCCACGTTGCTAGGAGTGCCAAGGGAAGCTCCATCCCTGCACTGCCCTTGCTTGGATGCTCAGCCCTCACAACTCCCATTGGCCAGGACTGGGATGGGGGAGGTGGCAACTGCAGGTGAGCACAGAGCTACCTATTACTACTACTACCACCAGCAGCAGCAAATGGGAGAATTTACATGGAGCAGCTCCCCATCTCAACCCCCTACCCCAGCTGTGAGCCCCTCCTGCACCTTAAATCCCTCCCAGACCCTGCATGCTCACCCAAACCTCTGCCATGAGTCCCCTCACACACTAGATCCCTTGGCCCCAGCCTGGATTCCCCTTCCTGTTCCCCAAATGCTTCAGTCCCAGAGCCCTCACCTACTTCTTCACCCATTATGCTTCAACCCACAGTTGCCTCCCACAAACAACTGAGTTTTGGCCCCATTTTGGAGCCTATGAGGCCCCACAATCTAAAAGCCCTGAGCCTGTAGAAGAGTTAATCCAGCCCTGATAGCATGAGGTGTTTGCAGCATAGGAGTGCCAGTCCTATGGCTGATCCAAGGATATGGCAGGACATTTTTCCCCACCTGCTGTCCCCCATTTGCTCTGGGAAGCTGAGCTGCTTTTCCACCCCAGCTTAGTGGGCAGATCTGCAACTGCACAGCATTAGGGAGATAAGTGATGCATCTCCCCATGCAGCAATCAAAATTTTGGCAAGGGCACGGGGGCAGGGCACTTCCTGGCTGCCACCGTGAGTGGCTTATGCCAGCTTGTCTTACTCATCACTAAGCCCTGCAAAGCTAGAGCAGCCCTGACTTACAAAGTAGAAGATGCCTAGTTATGACACCGCAAAGCCAATAGTTTTGAGATGCCTCCGGCAATAACAATCTTGTTCCTTTCAGGCTTGGTAGGTTGGGAGCTGGGGGATCCCAATCTCTTATTTTCTGGGCAAGCAAGGAGCTGCAGAAGTGAGCTTACTGCTTCTCAATGTCTGCAGTAGCTAGACTGCTCCACTAGCAGCTCCTGTTTAGAGGGGACAGCAGCATGGGCTGAAGCAGGACTACTCAACACGCTGGCCGCATGTGGTGCAGTTTGGGTTTATGTGGCCTGCGTGTGGGATCCTTTGAACATGGTCTCCACTGGGAACACGCTCCATAACAGCGAGGCATCTCTCAGGCGGGGTGAACATTGAAAGATGCAAGCAGACAGACTGGCTAGTACAGGTAGGCACAGAGGGTTGGTGTTTCTACCCCCCAGGGAGGAGGTGCCGGGACAGTGTGGGAAGTGCTCTGTATTCATGACCATCAGTGTGAAAACTATTTGCATATATTTGTATATTTATGCAATCACGCTTAAGCTGCGGCACTCGGCATGTGCTGTAAATATCATTGTGGCCTCCCAGGGCTTCCAAAGTTGAGTAGCCCTGAGCTAAAGTCTGCTGGATGGCACAGCAAGTTCTAAGACAGGGGGGAGGGGCAGTTGTTGGCTTTGGGCTTTCTTCAAATCATTCTTTCTCTAAATGAAACTCCCACATCCAAACATCTGGCCCCTAACGAGTGACTAGCATTTAGATGCGAAAGCCACAAGGCTGCTATTGTTGAGGTTGGCTTTGTTTTCCTAGAGTAGTCCTCATTTTCTCCACACAGTAGATAGGTAGATTGCCAAGTGTCAGCTCGGAGAAATATTACAAGCAGCATATATATATTTTTTTAATTCAAGCCTGCTTCTGTGATGCAGAAATGCCAAGTATCCATTTTCAGATAAACAATAAAATCTTATACGCCTGCATTTTGCGGAGTGACTGAATAGTTTGCACCATTGGGGTTTTACTAAGGCTACTTGGTATGGTCCTGTGTAGCTTGAGGATGGCTCAGAAACTTGCACTCCCTGATCATGTCTCCAGTGGAGATTCTGGTTTATTGTATGTGTGGCTGGCAGGTTGTAGCCTGATATGTGGTGCATATCCTGTAGTTAGGGAAGAGGAGCAAGCCAAGCTACAGGTGTTACTATTGATATCATCATCGTGGTAGCGCTTGGGAAGGTTACCACCCTTATGCCTCTGTCAAAATTTTAATTGCTAAATGGGATGCACCACGTGTCCCCTCCCTGAAGCTCCAGGTGACCCGCCCTGCACCTCTTCTCCTTGCAGGCACCAGTTGCCCCGGCCATCAGAGTATTTTTATAATCCTAGTGTTCAAATGCAACGTAGGGATGTAAAATTCTGATTAAGGAGTTAACCAGTTAAATGTTGGATTAGCCTAACTGGTTAATTAAGTGGGATCCTGGGCAGCGGAGTGTTCCAGGCTGGCTGGAGTGGACCCTAGCCCATGGGGCTCCTGCTTCTGGCCCTCACACTGGGACTTGGTGGCTGGGAGCCTGCAGTCCTGTGCGGGGGCCCAGCAGGGCTGGGGCAGCCCTCAGCACGTGCACCACCTCGTAATGCTTACCAGGTAACCGGTTACCATTCACTCCCCTACTTCAAAGTATTTCACAAATGCTGACTGCTCCCCCCCATCCACCCCCTCTCCCCGCCATGAGCACTCTCCTCATTTCACAGATGATGGAGGAACTCTACACAAACAGGTTTAATGAACTGCCCAGGGCCACGGCGTGTCTGTTAGACATGGAAGTGAAATTCAGGCGTGCTTGGCTTCTAGCCCTGCCTCTCCTCAGGTGTCCCGGTATCCTGAGACTGTCCTTCCTGTTAACATCAAAATGAAACCAAAGGATTTCAGCAACTGTCATCCTGCCCTGAGGCTCTAGAACAAACTCCAAAGCAGGGCGTCAAGTTACAAATTGTGTCCATTTTTCATACAGTCCTTCCCTCCATGCTGTCGCGTAGACTGGTGCAGCAGCAGCCTCTGCCTGTAGTGCTCTCTAGAGACAGGATGTAGGCATCATTTCCTGTTTTCTCCTTAGCTCTGCTTCAGCACACGACTTGGATCTATGTAAAGCTGACCAATTGAAGAGAGGGGAAAAATGGTACTTCACAGCATAGCTGGGCCCTGTAATACCCTTGATAGGGGGATGCTCTTAATTTATAACAGATTGTTATATAAATAGCAATGTTAGAAATGCAGATTCTGCTTCATGGCCTAAAACAGTTCAGAGCTTTACCAAACTTAATCTTCAGGGGGTAGCCAAGTTAGTTTGTACAGGTAAACTGAAAAAACAACCAATAGTCTGGCAGCACTTTACAAAACATGTAGATGGTATCATGAGTTTCGTGGGTACAGCCTGCTTCTTCAGATGACCTGAGTGTTGGATGTCTAGGACCAAAATAAAGTGCTACTAGACTATTTGTTGTTTTTTCAAACTTAATCTGTTAGCTCTTTGACTAAGGAGCTGCTCTTTCAACCGGGTTGTTTGGTCTTTCTCTATTTAATTCAGTAATTTCAGCTTGTTAATTTCACTACAGGTTGGCCCTCCATCGTCAGGCACCCTCAGGACCTGTCCAGTCCCAAACAAGGGGTTATGCTGGATCAGGGGAGGGTCCCTCCCAATATAGCCCATGCTGTCTTGCTACTCCAGGCTAGGACTCTAGCCTAGCCCCGCTGCTGCCTGCCTGTGGCTGCCTCTGGGATCAGAGCTCTGCAGCCAGGGATAGAGCGCCCTAGCTGCCACCGGGGACAGTGTGCTGCTGCTGGACCCCCTGCTACTGCCTGGCTGTAGGGGCCAGAGCTCCCTGCTGTACTGCCCACCCCTCAGTGTCCTGCCCTCTGGCTCCTGGATGAGTCTCCTCACCCTCCCTGCCACTCCTGCCCTGTGACCAATCTCCTTATACCTGGGCTGTGTGCTCCAGGAACATCCGTGGTGCTGCTGGATGACAGATGTTATTGGACCAGAGAGTCCCAGTTAAGGGAGGGACAGCCTGTACTTTTTACCTGGTGATTTTGCTGCTTCTGCACAAGCACAGCCCTTCCCTTTGCAAACAAGGAACAGAATCCCTCCAGCATTCGTGTTGAAACCAGCAC